CCCCAAAACCCCAAAACCCCTAGAATATATTATAAGAACTATTAGGACAATAATTTTTCCAATTTATTATAATACTATTAATATTTAATGAGAACTTATGAGCGATAGAAATCCTCTGGAGTTGTTCAGTCAATTGAGAGATTAGAGATTAATGAAATTCTATTAAATAAATCTCCTACTTCGAGACTACAAAGTGTTTAACCTCATCTGAACACCGAAGCAAGGAGATTATCAAAAGATATGACACCAGTTAAAAGAAACAATAGCTTGAGTGATCCAATAATGATAGCTATAAAGTAATAAAATGCAATGGAAGAAAATAATCAGCAGCTGATCAGATATAGGAGACATGAGAAGCATTGGAGGAAGCTATGTTTCATATTAATGCCTCTAAATTTCCTTAATATCCTTTCACTCAACATTGTAGCCATGTATTCACCAAGATAGAATATAGATGGATTTAATGTACCAGAAGTTATACTCAATATATTTCTGATATTCTTTGGCACTTACTCTATTATAAAGAGTGTAAAGACAGTAATGTTGTTCTCTTGCATCTTGTAAGATTTCTTGAATTATTTTTATGATTATAAACTGTAGATATTTTGCATTTGGGATAATGTATGCTTATCAAGAAGTTTTGATGGAAATGAGATAAGTGATATCTATTAGAAATGTTACTGAAATCATGCAACTAAATCCTCCACTTACCATGAACCAATTAGTCTTAAAATATGTGATTAAGTATTTTAGAATTTTTGGCACTCTTTGCATCATTGCTAATGGGCTAGCACTATATGCTATTAGAAGAGTTAAGATAATTAGAGCCATTGGTAATTTGAAAAATGAATAGTTCAAAGTAGTATACAGAAGAGTCAATAGTTTTAAGTTAAGTTATAAGGCCAATGATTAAGATATATTTGAAGAAGATAGCTTTATCACAGATGAGAATGAGACAGATGATTTATAAAAGAAAAATAAGGATCACAATGAAGATCTTGTTGATAGCAGCATAAACAAGGATTCATCAAATGATTCTAATGATGAACCAAGAATAGTTTTGAAAATTAAATCTGATGGGAGATACAGGAAAAGGGTGTCATCATCAATAAATCTAAATGACAAAGAAGACGATGATTAAAAATAAATTTTTTGAGGCATTTGACAAAAGAAATAGCATCTCAAAATTTTAAATGTTCTATCTGAATTTAGATTAACAATTATAAAAATCATTTAATTCTAATTTTAAAATTATTTCAATAAATAATAATTTAATAAATTTTGATGGGGTTTTGGGGTTTTGGGGGCATCTCACTATACCTCTACTCCAAATTTTGGTTT